TTCCGATACGCAGTCTCACGCGCTTGAGATAAAAATGTTTTTTCTGTACAACGTTGCCGTTTCTCGCTTTGAAATAGTTTAGTTTTTTTAATCCAAAATTCGTTGAACTGTTACAAAATATGAAATCGATAATAATTCAAAATTTCAAATTTGGTCTCGCGGATGCCCATATTCGGTAGAAGATTATGTTATTCAAAATTGGATGGCTCTAGGTTTTGTTTTGTTTTGGGCTAGAACGCCCCAACCCGCCTGATCACAAAGTGATCTTATGGTCCAAAAAGGGGGCGTCCCATTCACACCGACTTATGGCTCTAGATACCGTTATTTTATCACAATGCGATAAACATACATGCATTATGAATTCCTTCATTATTTAATTTCTAAATAAGCAGGGCGAAATATATGGTGGCACGATTAAAAGTGATACAGCTTTTAAAGTTTCGACAAGCTGAACGAAATAATAATTAATTTGGTAGTCCTTTTGATAATGGAGGTGGAATATATCGGCGCCTAATATATTCCACCTCCATTATCAAAAGTTAACCTGAAGAAATTTAATGTTCTCGAGAATTTTTTGTTCCGAGGAATAAACAAAGAACTAAAAAAAACCCCAAAACTTGCGATGCTACGGAAAACTGGTTTAAAAACCTAATGCAAATAAACATATCTGCAACTAAGTATTCTTTTTTCTATAGCTAAGACAGAAATTATGAAACGACGATTAATTTTAAGAAATAAGATGCTTCAGCTCATGCTGCTTCTAAATACGAAACATTGTTTCTGTATTATGGCAAAACATTATTTTTAATGCCGAATGAATCATAAAATTGTGCGCCTCGTGAAATGCCAGGTTTTATGATAAGGAGGATAATCAGTCGAATAGCGATTTAATGAACGTTATCCGACTAATTTTTAGATTTAACAATTTAGTTTGTGTTCCGAACAAAACTGAGAATTAATAAGTATAAAGGGTATTTTATACTGATTGAAAAAAAACTGTCACAAAAAAATTTACATACCTGCAGGCAGGAGTTCTCCAAATACCAAGACAGAAGAGTTATTTTTCCTCAACAAACTTGGATTCTTTTAACAAAATACAATCCAATGACATTTATTCTCTCTCATGGGAAATTTCCATATCGTAAAGGAGATTATATTGTCAATGAATGAAATGAAAGTTCACGGACCTAATAGGTCTCACGTAGTATAACTATTAGTGTTAATTTCTAGAATTTCGTGATACAGTAAGATGGTGATGGAGGAAGCATTGGGTTTTATTTTAAATATGTAGTGGAGACAACATAAATCCCGCTCACTGGAACTTTATCTAGCCTACAGACTCGGGGAAGAGGGGCAGAAGTACCTAATAAAGTACAAAATTTGAAATAGAATATTTAATGTTTATAAAAAAATTCATAAAGGAATTCTGGCAGCCAAATCCTTGAAACTAACAATTTCTAACATTTCTGCCCCTACCCCCTAAGAAATGTAAAAGAAATGAATGCCCGAAGTAGACTTAGCTCCATCGTTTTACTTAGCATATAAAATAGTTTTCATTGCTTATGTAACAGATTATCTTCATGTTCATAACAGGGATTTTGCGGCTTCATTTTATATTTACGTGTCTGTTTTAGCCTCTTAATTCATAATCTCAGTTTAGCGAATTTTATTGCCGATCATGGTCAAATCGTTAAATGCGAATTTGACTGTATCTAATGGAATATAAGTATTAAATATTTTTAATTCCTCCTCCTGGGCGAGTAGATAATATTAAACTCCCGTTGTTCGTCCCAATGAATGAAAGGAATAAGTGAGTATATTTTTCGTGGTTTTAAATCGTGGGTAGCGTTTAAACCGTGGGAATGAGAGCTGATTTAGCATTCACGAAGAAAGTCATTTTCGAAAACGAATTGCCCGTAAAAAAACACAGCGCTCAAAGCAGGGCCCGGCGTTAGACCTTTCTGCTGGCTCGGCGCATAAACCTGCGACTTCGAGCTTCCGTCTCCCGGTTCCTTCTTAAATTCAAAAATTTTGTCGCTCCCTGCGATTAAGTGCTTTCCATGCACTTACTGACAGTAACATCGAACGCTTCTTATGGCGAACGAATTTTTAGAGGTATTCAGAATTTTTAAGAATCTAGCACGAACTTTAAAAATTGCTTTTCTTCTAACACAGTTTTAGATCCTGCTCTATGGGTTTTAATAGTACATTCATCGCACATATCAAAATAATCACCAGTATGGCAATATTTTGTTACTGAAGTAATCGAGAAATTCTTTCTAGGTATAGATTTTCGCTTGCCGACAAACTGTTTAAAGTGTTAAAAAAAATTACCGTGATTCATTTAGCCTGTTTCCTATAAATCAAATGTATTTTACAGAAAATTAGCCCTAAAATACCTATATGTTGCAAATTCATTAGAAAGTTTTAGTTGACGTATTTCTCAACAATATGCAAGGAAAATTTTAAACTTCAATAATATTTCCCTCTTTTTTAATGAAGATTCAGATTTTTCGAGATTGAAAGTTTCGTATAACTCAGCGGTTCTCAATCTTTTGAGTAACGCGTACCACCTAAACAAAAATTGAAAACCTTTAGTACCACCACTATAAAGTACTACTACCACCACCACCCTTGAGTAAACTCAGGTCGCAGAAATTTACGAGAAAAAACTCAATCAGGAAATTGAGGTTTTAATTTTTGAATTTAATAGTTAAACATACTTTGCTTCTTTGTGTACCACCTATTTTTCTCTTACGTACCACCGGTTGAGAACCCCTGGGTAACTGATTTTTTCGAGATGATGATTCGGCATCAAAAATAAATATATAAATAAATAAAAATGCTGTGAAAAAAATTACATGTTTAAACTTCGAGATTTTTTAGAAATTTAACATCTAACTGAAGTGTTTTTTAAATCACAATATTAAAAAGTACAATTATTTATGAATGTTAGAGAGACAAAGGACCATCACAATTAATATGGACAATAACCAGTAGATGGCAGCATCATACATAGTATTCATTTATGGATGAAGGACTATCTGAATTCTCGAAACCCTTGAATTCAAGCCTTCAAGTTTTTTTTAAATCTTGCCCTGAAAAATCTTTAAACATTTTTAATTTAACACTATAATATGATTCATTTGTTTGCTATCCAACAAAAGCGTTTATTAAAAAAAGAATGCATTTTTTGTAATTTTTCGGCGATACCTTGATCATACCGTCATGGTTGTCTTGACGGGCGCATTGCAAGTGCGCGTTGATAATGGCTTTAAAATAAAGACGTTTAATTTTTGTTGATTTTCTGGAAGAATTTAGAGTTCTTTGTATATATAGAGGGAAGGTAATTGTTTCTGAGTTGCTAAATTTTGAAAATATTTCCCTTCTAAATTTGCAGTTTAAAAGCAATCCGAAAAGTACAAAATAATTTGAACTGTTACACTTTGAGTATTATGACTATCATCATGCTGAGAAACTCTTCAAGAATTAGTTAGGTACTTCATTTACTACATTTCATCAGTAGTTTCATGATAAATATAGGTGAGTTTTTAAAACTTGTATTCACAGATTTGTTTTCCCACCAGATGTGGATTGCAAATTTTACTTTAATTGAAAACTTTTCATTTAAGGCAATTTTTTTTTAACTTATTACTTTTATATATGAGTTTCGGAAACATATCAGGGTTTGTCCCACTTTTACTTTAGTTCTGTACGGTTTGTTACGGTTTCAAGCAGATATCAACGAAAATGATGGTCCACATTACTAGTGAAGTAGCTTATAGCTAAGAAAATAAATAACGGTATGCTCTGGAATTTCAATAGTTTTATTTTATTACAAAATCTCGCTTTTCACCTGTCATGTATCGAAATATATTTATCTTCCCTAGTTAAGATTTGTACTCAGTTTTCATAGCATAAAGCTTCTTTAACTACGTGCTGCACAATAATTTCTTGTTTGGTATTAATGTTTTTAAGAATTTAATTGCACGATTAATTCACAAAACTGTATTCGTATTAAAAAATTGTGAAATGATGCATATGCAATGTAAAGAAAATATCGAAACTTTAGACCAGTCCTCCAATACAAAGCCAAATTTTGAAAAATTTCTACTCAGAAAAATTTGATTAATTTTTAGTTTTGTTTATGAATCTCAAAATTCCCCCATCCTCTAATGTACAAGAAAATACTTCGGAGATTCTCAATAATTTGAAATTATTTTAGCATCTGTTGTTATAAAATAAAACCTAGTGTGTTAAAAAATAAAACTTTTGCAAGCTTATTTTCCATGAATAAAAATTACGCCTAAATTTTCTTAGTATGTTACAGGCTTTACGCACAAAATTGATCCAAATAGCATGTTAGTCTTAAATTAAAAAAATTTAGGACTAAATAAACCTAAAATATCGTTGGAAATCACAATATATCCTGAAGAAATACATCTTAGAAGTAAACTGAATGAAATTCAAGGAAGAAGAAAAGAAATGAAAAATTACCTGTTTAAAATTTGTTTCTTCATAATAAAATATTTAGTGTAATTCCATATATTCGAAATCAACTTAACAACTTTATAGTTTCCTTTGTTTAATCTTTCTCCGATAAAACAATAAAGTAATATTATTCTACTTGGTTTTTAAAATTTTAATTTATACTATTTAAATCCAAAGAAAAATCGCGACTAACAACTGAGGAATAATTACTTTTAAAATTTTAAAACTTACCCTTTTTCGGAAAGAGATCTTTTTGATAAGTACAATGAGAATATGCTCATAAATAGCTGCTTTTCTATGCTATGAAATAGAATTCTCAAAATTAAATATTTCAATAATCATCACTAACAGACCTTCACATGCACACATTACACCATTCCGAGATTTCAAATAAAATTTTATCCATATGTGAAGCATTTTATTTTCTTTGATGCGTATGTTTGTTGAATTACAATTTTTTAATTATTCAGATTTACTTTCTATTGAAATTTAAAAATAAATTTTATGCCTAGGGGCCCGTTGGACCTCGAGGATCACCTGGACCTCCTGGACCATCAGTAAGTACTTTAGGCAAGTTTTTTTACTTCTCAGTAATTTTCAATAAACGCTTAAGAGATATATACTATTCTCTAGAATTTCATTACCAAATTTTTTTAAAATATTATATCTTCCCATTGGCAACCACATTCTTATTTTTAATTATATTTAATTTTTCATAGTCAAATATTTTTCTCTTTCTCTCTTTTCACAAATTTTTCTTATTTTTTTTCCTTAGGGCCCTCAAGGATTTCAAGGACCCCGCGGGGAAACTGGAGAACCAGGACCACCCGTAAGTTATTATCCTCAACAATTTTTAGCAGTAAATTATGCTGTAGCAGTTTTACCTGGACATTGATTAAAAGTTAATATGTTTTTTTGAGTATTAGATAATATGTTATACTATTTCTCTTACAGGGTGCTCCTGGACATGCTGGAGAAAGAGGACTTCCTGGATTGCCTGGAAAAGATGTAAGATTTTTACTTTATTACTTACATTTATGAAGAGAGTAACGAAATCTAGAGTTTTATTTAGCCAAGAAATTTTGTATTTATTATTGTAAATCATTAACGTTTATTAATACATTGGTCAGGAATGTTTTCACGCAGTTATATGAATTGTAATTATGAAATAAATTATTGCTCATCTTAAGCGTTCATAGATCTGTTTGAAAGTTAGACGGAAATTAAACAATGTTTGATACCTCCAATATTTCATTCTCTGTCTTACTTAATTGTTTTTAA